TATCAACCTAATGATACTGTAGAACAAATATTGAATAGTGTAAATGAGTGTAATCCCTGAGCACAACCTCTGGTTCATCAGGGAAGTTCATCTTTGTTTATTTGCAAACAACTATTTTTTTGTACAAAATATTTAACTTTGAATTTGTAATTGTAATATATAAAACTAACATATTGTAACATTGTTTTATATTGTATATTGGGAAGTAAATAAACAATATTATTATTAGTATTACGTTATATTGAGGTTGCACCGTATTTAAGTATATAAGTAGTCTAAATTAAATTGAATAGCAATGAAAAACAGCGATTAAAAAAAGTGTTTTACATTACAAGTTATTTTTTTTAATTATAAGTTCATAGCTGTCGGTAGATGCTGGTCCCCTTTTGCTACTGAATATTTTGCCATGGCACAGAATCCTCTTCAGAATTAAAGTAGGCTGTAAATTTTTCCCTATTATCAAAAGCAGACAACCGCGCGTTTGATCCAAATCCTAGTAGACTTTCTAGTACACACACTCTCTCTCTTCATCTGAAAGCAAATTTTGAAGATAATGCGAGTTATTTCGACCTAAAATGTAGTTATGCAGTATGCAAGTAGCCGAGGTGGGGTGCAGAGTTGTGTTATAGAGGTAGCACCTTTTATCGGAACGACCACATCGAGCGTCATAGACGGGAGATGGTTCTTGATAACTGGTCCTCATAAGACAGCTAACTCTCACTTATGGCTCCACGTGCCACACCCCGGGCAACTGCATTGGTCTGCAGGCTAAACTAAGTGAGGGTAGCCAGATATGGCGAAAATTCCACCGAACGATTGCCGGTATAAGCAATCCCCCACTTACTGACCAACGGCTTCGGACGGATGAGTTGGTAAGTGGTAGGGCACTCTTTTGTCCTTGGGCTGAGAAATCGACCCTAAAGGCGGATGAGCCAAGTATACGGTCAACGGCATAAGGATGCAGAAGGCAAGGGGAAACCACTGCATTAAAGGTTCAAAAGAACATCCTTAGTAAGTCAACATGGCTAGTAAAGACCTACTCAAAAATGTTACTGATCATGGAATACGGATACCAATATCCGGCAGGAGAGGGCAATCGCAAGACTATGGGGCCTCTCCGGTCGTCAACATGCAAAATCCCTGTAAAGACATGAACAAGTCGAACAAAACTAGACTAGGTATTAGAGTTGGGACATGGAATGTTAGAAGTCTGTTTATGGCTGGAAAACTAGACAATGCCATCTTAGAAATGGAACGTTTAAATGTAAATGTATTAGGAATTAGCGATGTGAGATGGCAAGGAACAGGTAAATGTATAACAAACAACGGAATGCTATACTACTCAGGAAACGATGACCCATCACATTTGTATGGCGTAGGAATTCTCGTTGATTACAAAATTAATAGAACAGTAATAAGCTTTACTCCAATATCAGACAGAGTCGCGATTCTGAAACATAATTCAAAGACTGTTCCAATAAACGTAGTACAGGTGTATGCTCCAACAGCCGACAAAGATGAGGAGGAAATTGAAATATTCTATAATCAACTCAATGCCGCTCTAAAATTGACAAAAAAATGTGAGATAACAATCATCCTAGGGGATTTTAACGCCAAAATTGGTAAAGGAGCAGTGGCACCATGGATTGGTGAGTTTGGATTGGGCGTTAGAAATGAACGTGGAGATAGACTCTTAGAATTTTGCCAAAATGAAGATCTGGTTATAGTAAATACCTTATTTGATCTACCTAAACGTAGACTATACACGTGGAAATCACCAGCAGACCGAGAATCACACATCGTCAGAAACCAAATAGACTTTGTCTTGATCAGAAATAGGTTTAAAAATTCAATAAAATCAGCAAAAACTTATCCAGGTGCCGATATATACTCGGATCACGTCCCTATTATTGTCGAAATGGAAGCAAAATTAAAAAAGTTAAAAAACAAAAAGATTAGAAAAGAATTCGATGTGACAAGATTAAAAGATACTCAGATAGAACAAAGAGTTAGACAGAAAATCAATGATAATCTTAAACCCATCAAGTCAAAAAACACCAACTCTAAAGACGTAAATGAAAATTGGAGAGAGGTTCAACAAGCTTTAAAAGAAGCGGGAGAAGAAATACGTGGACCAATACCAAAGAAAAGACATATGTGGATGACAGACGAAATACTAACTCTCATGAATGAAAGAAGAAAATATAAAAACATAAACACTAGCAAATACAAATCCTTAAACAGCAGGATTAGAAAAGACATAATAACAGCAAAAGAAAGATGGCTAACTGAACAGTGTCACGAAATAGAAGAATATGAAAAGAAATATGATAGTTTCAATATTCATCGGAAAATGAAGGAAATGACGTCGGGAAAACAAAATAATATACATGTTATAAAAGACTCGAATGGTAACATTCTCACAGATACAAAACAACAACTAAACAGATGGACAGAATACATAAAAGAACTATTCGGGGATGACAGACAACAAATCATAGATGAGGACTCTGGTGAATCGGGACCAAAAATTTTAAAACAGGAAGTTCAATACGCATTAAAACAGACAAAAGGGAAACAGGCCACAGGTCTGGATGAAATACCGATTGAGTTTCTTAAACTGATCGATGATGAAATGATAGACATTCTAGTAGAACTTTATGATCATATTTATCAAACAGGTATTTTACCAAAGGAGTGGTTAGTATCCACATTCGTAATTATTCCCAAAAAGCAAAATGCAAAAGAATGCTCAGAACACCGTACAATTGCATTAATGAGCCATGTTTTGAAAGTATTTCTACGAATAGTCCACAACAGAATTTACAGAAAGCTGGATGATGAAATTAGTGATAGTCAGTTAGGCTTTAGAAACGGCACGGGAACCAGGGAAGCATTGTTCGGTATAAATGTGCTCATGCAAAGAAATCTGGATATGAACCAAGACATGTATACATGTTTTATTGATTTTGAAAAAGCATTTGACAAGGTACAGCACAATAAACTAATTAATATTTTAAAAATGAAAAACATCGATAGCCGCGACATCAGAGTAATCTCGAACCTCTACTGGAACCAGAAAGTCAAAATAAGAATTGAAAATCAAATGTCGGAAGAAATAGAAATTCTTCGGGGTGTGAGACAGGGCTGTGTATTGTCACCACTGCTGTTTAATATATATAGCGAAGCCATTTTCTAAGAAGCTTTAGGAGAGTGTAACGATGGAATGATAATAAATGGTGAAATTATTAATAATATAAGATATTCCGATGATACTGTCATATTCACTTCAACTCTGCAAAGTCTAACAAACATACTGGAACGGCTGAATGAAAAGTGTACCATATATGGTATTAAAATGAACTTAAAGAAAACAAAATTCATGGTCATTACAAAACATCCAAAAGACAACGAGACACTCCATATTAATAATATCCAGATAGAAAGGGTAGATAAATACAAATATCTAGGAACATTGGTTAGTCAAAACGCAGAACAAACGCAAGAGATTAAAAGCCGTATAGAAATAGCAAGGGCAAAATTTGTAAAAATGAAACATCTATTGTGTAGTAGATACCTAAGAATGGATCTAAGGGTTAATAAGAGGGAAGAAATTGTACAGACAATTAAGAGGCGGAAACTTGAATATTTCGGTCATATATTAAGAGGTCCTCGTTATGGGCTACTACGTTTGATTATAGAGGGCAAAATAAAAGGTAAAAGAGATGTAGGAAGAAGACGAACCTCCTGGCTACGAAATCTAAGGGAATGGTTTAGTCTGAGCTCTAGCCAACTATTAAGAGCTGCTGTAAGTAAAATAAGAATTGCCATGTTGATATCCAACCTTCGTTAGAAGATGGAACCTTAAGAAGAAGAAGTAGCCGAGATTATGTTTTCTATGTAACCAGGCTGTGAGTGTATTTTACGCTAATATATTCTGAATCGTTGGGCCAATAAACCAAAAGCGTTTTCCACCGTTCATCTTGCTCTGCAATGACGATAGTTAAAAATCCGTTTCCTTGGGTCTTCTTGTGCCTGATTTGAGGGGTACGGTGTTAGCATATATGTTTTGAGTGGAAAAGTTTGATCGGCTAAAATTACAAGCGGTATGGATATATTTGTACCCGGCCAATGCTTGCTACTCGGAATGTTGAGCGATCCTTCTTCTAGTACTGTGCATCATATAGAACTAGAAAAAATTACTCCATCACTGTTCTTTCCATAGGACTCAACATTTACAGCTATGAACTTGTAGTTGGCATCAACTAGGGCGAGTAGTACAACTAAGAATGTCTTTTTATAATTGAAATGGTTAGAGACACTATTATAAGGTGCAAATATCTCGCAGTGTTTCCCGTCAATAGCTCCAATGCAGTTCGAGAAATTCCATTTAGTCTCGAAATCGTGTGCGATTGTCATCCATCCAGTCTTCAGTAGAAGGCATTGGTATAAAAACTCGCAAGCAATTTTTATCTATAGTACCACATACTTCATGGACTATAGAGTCCACTGTAGAATGTCCAGTTGCGAGAAATCTGCAAGATAATAATTGTAATAATTAACTAAAATTCATTAACATACAAGTATAACTCATTTATCATATCACTCACTCATTCATAATTACAATCAAGAAATGTTGGTTATGTTTTGAATATGTTGTTAGTATAAGTATTTGTCTAATTATTTTTTATTTTTTTTAGATCCTAACAAATGTAAGCTGAGGAGGGAGTCATTGCGAAGTCAATTCCGAAAATGTATTCGCGCAAAAACAAAAACAGTAACTGGTCAATCAGTTGGGACTCCATCAACATGGAAGCATTACGATAATATGTCGTTCTTAACTAATATATATATATATATATATATATATATATATATATATATATATATATATATATATATATATGAAGGACAAGACAAGATATATTTCCGTGGCAACAGAAAACGAGGGACATGCAGTTCTACTGGAGGAAGCTAATATCGCGATCATCATAATATCAATGCGGAAATCATCCAACCCTAAACGTAGAAGGCATCAAGCTGTTGAAAGTGCTAGTGCAGTTTTGATGAAACATCTTTTGGAAGAAGAAAAAAATGAAAAAGAAAAAGATGATATTGATCTTTTCTTTGACACCATGAAAGCTAGGGTAAAAAAATTTAATGCCGGAAATGAACTTTTGACTAAACAAAGAGTTTTTGGTGTAATCAGTGAACTGGAGGAGTTTAATTTGAATCAATTGGCACACTCTTCGTCTGTTACAAACGTTCACCAACATGCTAAGCCAACCTATTTACAGCCAACTAATAACAGCCAACTTAATAACCAAGATGTTCACAATGCGTCACCCCAGTATTCTCCGGCAAGCTCTAATCAAACTACAGGTTCCTACTTAGAAGCTTTTTTCCCACCAGAAAACTTTGCATAAAACTTTTTTTTGAAAACTATCTACACATTTTTTTACAATACAAAATTTTGAATCATTCACGTAATTTTATTTTCTTACCTCAAACTTACAGCAAGCTTTTCGGCTAGAGTTACTGCTCTTCTATAGTGAGTGTCCATTTTCATTATGTCGTCTTTAATCAGAGACAGCAAATTAAGAAAATCATAATGCGACATGCGAAAGTACTGTACGAATTTTGTGTGGTTGTCCACTAATTGTGGATACAATTTTGCGAAATCTCCTTCTTCTGTCCTCGATAAAAATATTTTGTGTACCCACCCTCGACGAGGCCTCACTTTTTCTTCTTCTTCCAAAAGTAATGCCATTTTGTAGAGTGTTTTTCTCTTAGACATCTTGATAGACCGGAATGCTGAAGTAGACTGACGGTGATCTGCCCGGACTGTGTGTGTGAATGGGTTTCCCCTTGACGTGATGTGATTGGACTGTTATCTGATCGTCCCGTGACTGTTGGTCTCTTCTTCTTCTTCTTCACGTGCCATCTCCGCTACGAAGGTTGGCTATCATCATGGCAATTTTGACCCTGGAGGCTGCCGCTGTTGGTCTGAATGTACCTTAATACATCGATTTTAGATTCATTATGTCAAATTACCAAATCTTAGCGGATTGTAAGTGGTTTATGGTCTATACCTGCCAAGTAGGTGCAGGTAGGCCAGTGATGAGTTTACCAATCTTTCGAAGTGTATTTGAAAATTCTTACTTTTATGGCGGTGATGAGTTTGTACTATGTACGAGGGTATTTATGGTAATTGGTGATGAGTTTACGTGTACGCCTTAATTTAATGTTCATCTTCTTTGATACGTTAGTTCTTTACGTATAGGGAGATACGTTGCGTTATGTAGTTACAAAAACTCCCTAATATAGATGAGTTTTCTATCGAATATTGGCAATATTAATAATGAGTTTAGCATATTGTATTAAGATTTTTTTTATTATCCTAACAGTTTTAATTCCTTTACACATCCGCAATTTTGAAAGGTAGCTTTTAAAAAAACTCCCTTTATTTATATACAATATACTTTCTTCGGTAAAATGCCCTTTAATTAGTTCCTCCATTAAATACTGGGTTAATTATCGAGTTGTGTGCCAAAAGTCAATCGTTACCGCTAGCTCAGCGTATATATTAAGAGAAAGCAAGCAAGAGCAATATATATTTCCATTAATTAAACGTCGTCGGTCGAATGTCCGAATGTCCGAAACGCATTGAGCTTTGTTCTATCTGCGAAATCGAAACGGATTTGCATATGATTAATCCTTTTCACGCACACGAGTCGGCTATAAAACAATCCGGATCACAATCGTTCAATTTAATCCATTGGCGTTACAATTCGTTAATGAAAAATGATTCTGGCTATTTGATAAATGTTATCCCAAACAATGTTATTAAACTTTATTCTGTTTGCCAATTTCATCCGTTTATATCATCATTTAATAAGAATAAAATTCATATTCCTTGAAGTTTTAGAGTTGATAGCTAAAGATCATATGGGTAATTTCTCTAAACGATGGAAGTAAAAAACCCTTTCTGCAGTCGTACATTTAATATAAGATTATTCTGACAAAGAAACTAAGAAACCAATTAAATCCTCAGATAGCCAGAAGAAAAAGAATAATCTTAAGATGAAGACTTTACTGATGATGATGATGATTATATTAAAACAGCTAAAAACGGTAATTAAAAACTCGAGAAAATAGAAAAGAAAATAGAGAATATAAAGAAGAAATAGTGACCTAAATTAGGCTACAATATGAAAATAATAAAACGAACAACAACAAATGCAAAAATTGATACAAGTAAATTAAGGAACCCACTCATAAATAAGAGAATACCAGAAAAGACATGATAGTTTTAACACACATAAAAAAAATAAAGAATTAACTCACAGCAATAGAACAAAAAACCGGGAATACTGAAAGATACAAAACTAAGTACACATGTGTTAACTTCTTTATTTACTATTATAGCCATTCTGTTTTTGTTTCTTGTTGTAGTATCTGCACAGTAGTAGGGTGAAGTAAGGTATATTCGTGATATAAGTAAATTAGTGATAAATTTCTAATAATTCGTCACGATCTAGCCTATTGCCTTATAGCAGCAGTTTTGTTGCAGTCTCTGGCGGAAAGACTCGACAACCTTCCCCACCACTGCAAGTCAAATTGCGAAGCTCTGTTGAACCGGGATAAAACTTATTTTTCAGTGTTATTCCTTGTGTTGACGATAGAGCTTGAAATCTGAAGTGCATTCGTTGTTTTATTATTTATGGTGAATATTGCAAAGGTAAGTTTGTAAAAATTACGTATGATGTTGTTTAAAAGTTGCTTAGTACCCCCATTAAGTTATACAGGCAATTTTCGCCAACAGTTTTCTGAAATCGCTTAAGTTGTGAGGCAGTTTTCTTACGCATTTTAACGTTTGTTTGCGCGGGAAAATGTAACTAATTATTCGCGGTGTATTTACTCTAATTTTATTTGGATTTTTATCATAGATATAATAAATATGTGAACTATAAATATTAAATAATAAATATTATGAAGATTTTCTAACATCCAGGGTATCACGAACTTACCTGTGTCTTTTTTTTAGAATTCAAAATGTCTAAAATATGCAAAGGAAAATATCGCCAATATGAGATCTCCGATTTATTAGAAGCCTCAAGACTTGTAAGAGTAGAGAAACTATCCATCTACAAGGCAAGTAAACAAAGTGGAATAGCCTGGAGTACACTGAAAGATTTTTTAAGTAGAAATGAAGATGACAATCACCAAGTTGCCAAACTAGGAAGGCCGTTTGCTCTTACTGCAGAAGTTGAAATTCAGTTGTTTAATTACATTATAAAAATGCAAGAATTGGGTTTTGGTTTGACGGTGCAGATGATAAGAAAGATAGCCTTTCAACTTGCACAACGGACGGAGAGAGATCACTTTTTCAATAAAGAAAACGAGTCTGCTAGTAAATGGTGGTGGGCTCAGTATAAAAAGCGATTCAATCTAACACTGCGTATTCCTGAAAATTTGGCTGCATACAGGGCTTCAATGTCAAATAATGAAATACTGGGGGATTTTTATACAAAACTAGAAACATTAATGGTTAGACTTGGAGTTCAGAATAATTCCGATCATCTCTGGAATTGCGATGAAACCGGACTATCTTATGTGGTCAAACCAAGTAAAGTCGTTACCTCGGTTGGAAAACGTTATGTCTACAAAAGAGCATATGCAGATAGAGGCGAATCTCAAACCATGATGGGATGTATTTGTGCCATGATGGAACATGGATTGCACCGTTGATAATTTTCAAAGGGGTTCGATGGAACGATAATTTAAAGAAAGATTACCTACCAAATACACAAGTAAAACTTTCTCCAGAAGGATCGATCAACAGTGAGATCTTTTTGGAGTGATTTCAATTTTTTATTGCCTCAATTCCCTCTGCCCAACCAGTAATTTTATTAATGGATTCCCATGCATCACACATCAATCCGGAAGTTATATCTCTTGCGTCTCACAATGGTGTTTATTTATTTACATTTCCAGCCCACACTAGCCATCTGTTACAGCCACTTGATGTAGGTGTTTATAAGTCATTAAAGGCTCATTGGGCCAAAAGCTTAAATGTTTATATAAAAGATAATGCAGAGAAGCCCCATAGAACCAATTTTCACACCATTGTCATCATCCTGTGTTCTAGCCCCAACCAATCAAAAAGCGGTTTCTGAAGATAATGACTGGGATTGCGGAATGTGTGGTAATAGTTATTCACTAGATGTCAAAAGAAAAAATGGTGCCAAGTGGGTCCAGTGTTCCTACTGCCTAATTCCATACCATGTTATGTGCCAATCGTCTGATGCCGAAGAGGATGTTTTTATGTACGACATGTGTGGAAACAATGAAGACACCATTAATGATTCTGAAGAAGATTAAGTTATTTGTCTACCACCTGTTTTTGTTTTTAATTAATTTAGTTTTGTTTTATTTTTTCAAAATATGGATTTACTTTTCTTGTAAAGAATTTTAATTTTGTTTTTATTTGTTAAGAAATTACCTAATTTTACCTAATAAATGAATTTTTATTATTAAAAAAATTTTATGCACACAAATTGGATTGTCAGGAATTTACCTTACCTCTATCACGAAATTGAATATCCATGTCACGAAATTACCTTACCTGAACAAAATTTAAAAAAACACATAAATTATTAAACTTTATAGTATTTTACACAAAATAGTAACTTGCAGTTGTTACTGAATGATGTCTCCTTTTTGGTAATATTTTTACGGTATAAAATTAAAACCTTTAACCACATTAATTAAATAACCTATAATTATCATGAATATACCGTACTTCACCCTATATTGTATGGTTTTCTATTTCGCACTCACCTAAATTGGGCCATCTAACTTCACTGCATCCAAGTATGTCAATCTTGAGTCAATGAGAAAAATATATTCGGCAGTCCAAAAACAGCGAAAATCAGACCTTGAAGAGGATGTGATTCCAACAAGTAGACGGTTCGTCGAAAAAAGAAAAAAGAAGGTTAAAATTTATTAAGTTTTTGACATGTACATGTACATTTTTATTAGGGCAATATACGTTTTATTTTCATTTTTATTTTTTATTATGCTATTATTTTTTCTATTATGCTAGTCGATATTTAACTTTAACATAAACTTTTTAAATTTTTATGCAAAGATTAAAATTGGACACATATTTTTAGACGGAGACTATCAAAAATTATATTTTGACAAAGACCTCTGATTTGAAAGTCAAAACGGAAGTAACAGATTTAATTTTAAGATTTTTGTAGATTTTCCAAAAGTAAATTTTTAACAATTCATACGTCACATACACCAGCGTTGTAGCTATGTTATTTAGATATTTACCATAACAGTTTTTAAATCGACACCACTGTAATACTAATTTAGACAAGTATTGATGGCGAATTATAATTATACTGTAACGAAC